TATATATGCGTGTGTGTGTGTGTGTGTGTGTGCGCGTGCGTGCGCGTGTGCGTGTGCGTGCCTGTGTGCGTGTGTACATGCATGCGTGCGTGCGTGTGTGTGTACGCAAATGATGCCAGGGTGAGTCACACGAGCCCCACGTAGAGTAGAGAGTGACTCTAGAGCGCGTGAGTGTGCCAGTCAACGCAAACCATCGCATCGCTCATTCATCAGCGCATGACGACGCCTGCTAGCATCGCACCCTGCGGCAGGCGAGAGTGAACGCTATGCGGACGATTCCCACCCATCGACCCCCGCACCGCAAGTTACATAACAAACACAACATACATTCATATATATACATGCGGGGCCACGTAACATACATTCATACATTATTATAATTATATATATATATATATATATATATACACGCAGGACGACATAAGATATTCCTCCCAAGTTCCTTATTGCGATGTATAAAATCATCCCTATTATCAAGTCGTCGTCATCGCTTAATCGAAATGCGCTCTAGTGATGACGAGGTGCTAGGGGCAACGGAAGCTGGAACGTGTGTTACCATGACGACTGCATCGCCGCATCAGTGCTTTGATGCAGGGTAGAGACGCGGGAGAGGATCAGAGCGCGCGCGCGCGTGGGTGGCGAAGAGCAGCGTGCGACGAGAAACATAGACTGGTCCACTAGTACTCTCTCCGCACACAGCTCATACCGCAGTGCGGAGACGCGGTGCCGGTCTAGAGGGGGAGCCGCGCTAGCCGCGATGGGCATTTGTTTGGCTCGGCCCAGGCGTTATTTTGGGATGCACTCCGTGGGGCGCGAAAACCGATCGCTCTGTTTCGCGCGCCTTTTTTGCGCAAAACTTCACAGCGCCCGCCCGTCGGCTCTTCTGTCAACGCGCCGCGCGGAAAAATCGAAAGATCAATACAGCATACTTTCACTGCCGCCTTATCAACAGCCAACAGCTTAATTACTAAAGGCGAATTGCGCGCGTACGGGCGTGAGTGAGTGAGTGACCGCTACGCCACGTACGATCGTGTGAAGCCTACAGGCTACCTACGTTCAAATTTAATAAAACTATACACAGTGAACGTCTACGTTGTACTGGATCGTACTAGCACGAGATCATCACACGCGAATAGATCTCGCAGACTTCCACACTGACGGCAGAAGAACATCGCCTTTGCGATGACCCCGTTGAAAATTTCTGTTGACTCTCTCGTGGCAATTTCCATTAGTCAACGGCTAGCACCCGCTGGTTGGATTTGTTGCACGCTGCGACCTGCTACTGCAGCAACTTCCCAATCGCATTAAACTCGTTTTTCATTTTATGACCTCCTTCCTTTTTTTCATTCACTGTAAAACGACCGTCAACTCGAGCGAGCGAGCGAGTGAGGGAAGGAAACTGGGCCGGCTGCCTCTGCCACTCATTCACTCCGCTCCATTCATCAATCAGCTCACTATTCCAAGTGCCGATCCACCGCTCTAGACTGACTCCCACCCGCCTGCCGCCAGCTGGAGCGAATCACGGTTGTATACACTCAAGTAGAAGAAACTGAGAGCAAGTAGAAGAAACTGAGAGAGAGAGAGAGAGAGAGAGAAAGAGAGAGACGGAGAGAGAGAGAGAGAGAAGAGAGAGAGAGAGAGAGAGAGAGAGAGAGAGAGCAGAGAGAGAGAGGAGAGAGAGAGAGAGAGAGAGAGAGAAGAGAGAGAGAGAGAGAGAGCGAGAGAGATAGAGAGAGAGAGAGAGAGACCCATGAGGAGAGGACGAGAGAGAGAGAGAGAGAGAGAGAGAGAGAGAGAGAGAGAGAGAGAGCGCGCAGGCGGCCGTCTAGCCCACACGACGGGGCGCCTGCTGATAGGGTTACGCTCTGCCTCAATCGCTGAACAGGAAACTGGGTGACGACCTCCTAACCCTGTGACAAAATACATCGCCCTGCCAAGACTTGCCAGCGACTGGATTCGCTCCCGGGCCCTAGTTACGCCACTCTCGTGCTCATAGACTATCAACACGATTATTGTCTAAAATCCATTGCGAGTCGTACGAATAGGTAAAATTTAGGAGCACATAAAGCATGTAGTTCACGTGATATATTTATTGTTGATTTCGCATTGAAAATGCGATAAAATTCATGGGACAACCACAGCTGCCTCGGAGGAAGAAACCGGGGTAGCTGCACGTGGCAGCCACTGAGCATCAAATTCCAACTTTTTTCAAATTCACTTTAATCAAGACAGTTTCAACCAAAGCATAAAGAAAGAGTCATCGGTAATCAAAAAGGGTATACTATCTTGTACGATTACTCCCCAGGCAGTCAGCCAAAAGAACAGGCCACTCGTAAAACACATTGTGACACACTGTTTTACACTCGACTCTTCATTATACAACAACATAGCATTCGTTTTTCTATTCGGAAACCTAGCACCGCTCTGCCGGTCAGGCGAACAGCAAGGAAATGATTATCTCTTAGTTTCCTGCGCACATGACAAGGATATGATAGGAAAAGCCGGTCACCCCCCACTACACACATCCTCCCTGCGCCAAACGACTGCTAACAAATCTCGTGCACTCTCTATTCTAGGTTAAAGCGGGAAAATACTAAAGAAGGAAACAGGCACACCAAAGCTCGTCTTCTTAAGTCGCATTTTCTCCAGCTGCGAACACGGCTCTTGAGTGACATTGCCACGGAGAGTTTCCAACGATGCGAGTGGTCAGGTAGCCGGCTCACTGTACTCGACCGTGACCGCTTGCTGTTGTTTTTTAAATTCTCGTTCTGGCTGGACTCGATTAGCTACGTGTGGCCCTCAGATAGCCGACGGCTAGCGGTGGTAATCCACCGATTATGGGCATCGCAACACGTGCGCCTCTGTTTTTTTCCTCCGCCAAAGAATTCAACTCAGCTGCGCGAAATCGGAGAGCCGCGAAAGCTACAGGTCGGGTCACCGGGGAAAACAACGGAAGTTACCCTGAGCAACCCGGCTCCGCGCGCCGCGCCCTCTGCTGCTGCTTGCCGGCTTCTGCCGGCCCAGGGCGACAGGATGAACAGCTGCAACTCGTTTTGCCAAGTACGATTTACTTCAACGGCGAGAGAAATGAGTCGCCGCGGATAGCGAAACAATTTCTGAAAGAATTCCGTGAAGAGCGGCAACCAGCTGGCGTCCGTTATGTTATCGTTTTCCTCATACCGTAATGCATAACACGCAGAATGCCACCGCCGTCGCCAAATATACGCTCGACTACGTTATTTTTTCATCCAAATATTTTGAGTTACCATCTGCATGCATTTAAAAATTAAAAAAAAACACGTACTAGTAGTCGGGAGACATCAACACTAGTAGTATATACACACAGCACTCACTCCTTCACTCAGAGTAAAGGAAAAAGGGACTGATACTGATACTGATACAGTGAAACTGACAGTGACATCCAGAATAAGCCTTATAGAATATATAGGCTCGTACCGCCACCTGTTGGACAAAAAAGGCATATTCACCTGCAGTAGCGTTTCGGGAGATGACGGACCATGGTTAACGGGGCCAGGTTTCCTTCCATCTAAAACCAAACATCATTACAAATAATCTGCCAACACACTAGATGCTTCTGATCACTGCTCGCCTTTACTTTCACTGCTGTTAAAAACCAACATAGGATGGGATCTTAAAGCCATCACATACACACATTCCAATAATGTCATTAGATTTCATTTCATCATATAAAATAATTTTCAGATTAATCCAAAATAGTAAAATACATTTTATTAGTATATCTTTTACATCATAATGAGCAGAATCAGCTAAAATTAGTTTAATGAGTTGAATAAATGTACCAACTTGATGTGTGTAACATGTAAAACTGCCTACAAACATACCAAGCTCATAAAGGTGGCCTTCCACTTCAACCATGGCCACGAAGTGTGGAGTTACTTCTTGGTCAGCAGAGGGCGCCTGTTTACAGCAGCGACAAAAAGGTCTTACAGTTATGAAGAATGTGACCACGTATCATACCACCAATCAAATTCTTATTGCCTACATTCCTTTAATTAATTCATGAAAATTTAGAAGACAAAAAAACTTGTCTAATGCAACCTCTTGGTCAGCACGAAAGACCCATTAAAGGCATATCACCAACTTGAATTAATTTGCAGATGAGGTTGGGTGGCAACAGAGCAGCGCTTGTAAAGTACTGCTTGTGCTGGACAGAGGAGCATGTATGTATAGCAGTATAAACGTAGACACATGTCGGTGGTTAACATATGACGAAGGTAATAGTTAGTAGACACAGCTGCGTAACAGCATGTAATATCACGCAGGGGCAGTTACCTCTGTCTGTCCCTCTTGAGCACTTTCTTCATGAGCAGAGCAAATGTCCTGCATAAGAGAAACAGTGTAGAGATTACTGTACTATACTACACAGCTTCACTGTACAATAAGACTCTTTTACTTCTACTTTACTTCTTACTTTTACTCATACAATCTAGACTCTTCGATGCATGCAAGAGGCTGAATACGCTGCATACTGTCACAGCAGTTAAAAAGCTACCCTTAATTCCTCTCCCGAATGCCACCTACAAAAATTACCATGGTGACGACTTAAAAATTGCACGCAACAAATTGCAATCCGAAGGCGGCACCCATCATTGGCTCGAACGAAACCTCCCATGATTTCCCACTAAAATGCCACCTATCACGATCGTCGCCCCGGCAACAATCTAGAAACAAGATGTTCGGTCGATCAAGACCCCTCGTCGAGGCGGGGTGTCAGTTATGTTTTTCGTGCGGCAACGGCGACGGAACTTACCGAGTCGGTCGCAAGGTACGCAGCCCTGGCCTCGGGGTCGAGCTTGATGGTGGCGTCAAGGAACCTCTTTAACTTGCCGTCGCTGGTCAACTTCAGCTTGTCGACGTTGTTCGCGAGTGCGTGGATGAGCGCCACGGTTCCGCACGCGTTGCCTGCGCGAAGCCAGGGAAACGTGAGGCGCGTGTGCGTTACACGGTCGCTAGCAGTAACGTGTGCGCGACACTGTCGCTAAAGGTGGCACGTTGCAGTCGTTACCGGCATGAATATATCATCACACACCGTGACAGGAATGAAATGGAGAGGAACAGACGGAACAGATCAAAACGTAACAAGTGGAAGAGACGAGCATGGATTTTAACAGAAATGCACAAAGTAAAAGACAGAAAAATAACGTTAGATTTAATTACTTCCTGTAAATCAATTTTGGACATATCAGGAGATTTTCACGATCTCCCAAAACGTTTCCAGTCACATATTTGTTAGAAAAACAGTCTTAAAAAGTGGTAAACCTCCACTCTAAGTACTTTTACGTAATGCTAGATGGCAGCACTTACCAACCGTCTGCTTGGTGTAGTAGAGCTTGTTGCTTACTGTTTGCTTGGCTGCAGCAAGCCTCTCCTGTTCCTTCTTGCACCATTCAGTATACTGAGCAGCAAGCATATACAGTCGTTACTCTCTGTAAATCAATACTGTGCCCAGCATTGTAGATTGCAGTTGCTATGGCATGCCCATGCGACACAAATGACTCAGTGCACAGAGCTTAGTGTTATAACCTGCATCTTCGCGACAGAAAAGTTGCTTTCAAACTTGATAGAATTTAAATCACTTCATTACCTAAAAGGTTTCAGCTTGATGCAAATTCAAATCAGACATTATTTCGTTTTTTATCTTATTGCTCACAAATGCAATTCATTATAACAATCAGGTTTTCTGTTCTGTAACAGCCCCAGGCTGTTTGCTATGTTGATGATGTTTTTTGTCAAGAGGACCGTTCTCTCAAGGAGATATTTAGTGAAAGCATTTTTTCCATCACATAAACACACAACAAAATTTGTCACAACATTTTTTGTGAGGCAGTGAGATTTCCTCTGCAAGGGGTTCGCTGGAAGACTTACGGAATCCTTGATGGGGAAGAGGAGTAGAACCGCACCGACTGGGTGTGGTACGGTGGCCAGCAAATCCGGTTCCAGACCCCAGACGTCGACAAACTGCCACTCCCCGGGCAGATTGCTCACTCCTAGGTTGCTCACATACTGCATGCAACCACCACAAAAACCAAAAGCTAGAATGATACTATAGAATTATAACGTGCACGCCACGCCTCAATACATTACTTAGCTTGCATTGATTCAGAATGTTCTAGGAGATATTCCTATATGACAAGCATTATAGTTACTAGTCAGTGATGCACCTCACTATGTTTGCAATGTTAGCAACACAAGATTAACAATGTTGGTAAACAAATTTTGATTTAAAAAATAAACATCTTCAGTTCAATCTCACACATGAAATGCACTTCTATATGTTTTATAGAATGAAATGGGTATATATCCTGTCCCAATTGTTTCCAAAACAAATGGCAATTTTCTTCTATATAATCAATTGATAGGAGTTCTAGCATTGTAGAAAGCTACTTGATAAATGCCAGTTGCATCAATATGATATATGGGAGATAGCCTGTCTCTTCTTGGATCATGGATACTTGGTTGCTACCTAGTCTGAGTTCATGGCGAGACAGCCCTGTCTACTGTCGCTAACACATCACCAGGCATGCTAAGCACGCACCCATGGCCATGATGAATCAGTGCAGGTTGACAGATCAATACTGCCTGGCTTTGCCCCCAGACAGTAGCGGCTAGCCACAACCATGCGCTGGCTCTCCCAGAGATGCCATTACATGAACAAAGCCACACAAATCTAAAACGTTCTTGCTGTTTCGGTGCACATCAATGTGCCTCATTGTACAATGATGGCAAAGAAACTGATCTATATAGCTCTTACATGAGTTAGTATATTTTTATGTATTGTTGAATTAAAGACGATTTAACAGCCCATCATTGCATCAATAATAATGGCATTATATTTAATTATGATTTTAGTTAGTGAATCAAGCTTCATTATTTTAATTTATTCAGCTGTAATTTGATATAACTATAACACTAATATGAATAATAAGCAGGTACAAGGATAATTGCAAGTGGCTATAGCTGTCACAGTGTCACTTCCCTAAAACTTTCTGCAAATCACGAATTCTCACCTTGTTAAAAACCTGCAAAAAATGAAAACAACGAATCAAAATTCGATAACCAATAAAAGTTATAGAACATTATGTACGTTCCGTTCTGATAGTATGCCATACACAGGATACAGTGACAGTGTAAACAAAGTATGTGGCACTATAGTGTTTTTTCGTGTAGGTAAACAGTTACAGTACATTGACAATTTAGACGATATGCGTCATAAAAATAACCCTTCTATTCCAAAATTAAATATACCGCTAGTAGGGCTGATAGGGTCTATGTCCCCCAGGATACTGCCGGAACGTACCCTGGGTACGGTCCGGTATACCAGAACGTACTCTGATACTAATTTACTACTATCTAATATGCCGGACCGTACCTCGCCTACTCCACTAACGAGTCTAGGGAGTCGCCTACGCCTACTCCCTAACTCTAACACTAACCCTAACCCTAACCATATCAGCTAGATAGTTACCATGCAGGGTACGTTCCAGCAGTACCCTGGGGAACATAGACCCTATCAGCGCTAGGCGGACTGGCGATAGCTCTAGTAGTAGTACTATAGCCCGCGGATAGCGGGCTATATAGACCTGCGGCAGCTATCCGCGGGCTATAGTACTATAGCCCGACCAGGCTGTGCGACGGATTGTCTATACAGGTATCCTAACCCTAGCGATACCGTTTCTTGGAGCTATAGTACTAGAGCTAGACTGGCGACTGCTGATGTCTGATGACTCATTGCCGCGATACACATCACAGTGATGGCGGGGTCGAAATTGAACAATATTTCTCGCATGTTCAGGGCTAGACATTCTCAAATTACCCAAAACAATAGCTATGATATACTATACTACGACATTTTTACACAAGTTAGATAAACTCGCTGTATTTTCACAGATATACATACTTCTGGGTTCGACTCCAGCGGCAACCACCTCGCTTTATTAGCCATTTCTGCGTGTAGCCGACTAGCCGTGTACTGTCAGATCATAGATGTTGCCCACCCTGCTCTAAATAATCGATATTTTCGCCATTAGATGGCGCTGCTAATAGCAGGATAGACTGGTACTCGCTCCCACCTCGATTACTCGATGCTTCGAGGCCTCGATTACCCATCGAGTAAATAAGCCGAGAGGTGGGACCGGGTACCAGTCTAATAGCAGGAGTGAGTGTTCTGGCAAGTATGACAACAACCCGTTTACCTTATCTTATATTTTTCTAGAACACTACGATTAAAGTTAATAACATTAGCGGTGTACACAGTACAGTAGTCAAGAGAGTAAAGAAGAGAGAAGACACGGTAGACAAAGCAGGTATAAAGTATTAAGCAGTTTTGCAGGGAATTATGATGATTAGCAAATAGCAAGCCTTAGTTAGTCGTGACTGTTGCTTTTGTAGTCTTGTGACTGTGACTATTTGTGTGAGTACCTACACTACAGAGTAAAAAATATGTTTTGGTACACCGTCACCGACACCGTCACGAGCCATTGATGCCAAGTGACCAGAGCCGTCTCAGTACCAATCTTTGACTAAACTGAGCAGTTGTTGCGTTTGCTGCGCATCGGTTCTCACACGTTGTTTTAACTTGTACTAGTTGTACTTGTAGTTCAAGTTGTACTTTAATTAGTGAATAATGTCAGTAAATAAGGAAAACATTAAATCTTCTGCCCCTGACCCGTGACCAGACGTTCTGATGGATGGGTCAACTGCCTGTAAATCTTAGAATAGAAGTAGCTCTACCCGATATAATATCAGGGGTTAATAATGACAAATTTGTCATTATTAACCCCTGATAATATACAGTGTTTCCCCTGCATTGACATGAGCGAGGCAGCCTGCCTCGTTCAAATTCTCAGCCGCCACACAGAAATTTGTCCAAAACACCGCCTCGTTGACGAAACCTGACAATTTGAAAATGAGTCTCATACAAATGTGTTTAGAATAGCTTAGAATGTACCAAATTGCACAATTTTGTAAAAAAAAATTCGTGGGGGAGCATGCTTCCTGGCTCCCTAGCTTGGCCAGCACCTGCACTGCTCACTTTGCTAGGACCTCAAAATGCACAAACACATCATAAAAAACTTTTACCACCTCACAGACCTTTTTGACCAGGGAAACACTGATATATATCATATAATTTATATAGTGACTGTGTCCCTCCGGTATGCCATCAATGGTTCCACACTTGTTGCAGCTGCTTCAAGACTATGTTTAAATTGTAATATCAACTAAAGGAGAAGCCATGACGGTATAATCGATGTCTCATGTGGTCTTGAACCAAGCTCAACCTGTCCACCATTTACTTCAAAGGCTGTAAGTTCAAAACCTGTGCAGAGCAGTTAATTTTCTCTACATGTAAAAAACTGACTGCCAACATTGGGGGGGTGTGAATCTGCCGTGGCTTAGTTGGTCACGACCGTCAGGTCAAATAGTGTGCCCGCCTCCAGTATTGTGGACATAAAAGAACCACTGATGTCAAACACTAGAAGTGACCTCACTTATTATTCGGCATTAAAGTTTATTAGACTTAGTTACTCTAGGTCTAACTAGGCCTATCTTCTCACGTTATCCAGAAGGGGTTAGGTAACCGCTACAAACACGACGAGAGCTGATAGCCCAACCTAGGCATCTAGCTCAACCTGTACATTTTCTTCAATTGCAGAAGGATTGGCTGTAGCCATGCCGATTTTGTACTCCGTTGTCGCAAGAGGAGTGGCAGTGCTGGCAAAGTATGCCGGCTGTGCTGGAAACTTTGCGGAGGTCACAGAACAGATTCTAGCAAAGATACCACCGGAGAACGGCAAACTTACCTACTCGCATGCAAAGTACGTAATCGTATAGTGCATCTTTGCGCTACTTACTGTGGCAGGAAGTTTGACGCTTGACCTCAGGAACACGTGAAGTAGGAGGAAAGGGGGGTGCAAAGCCAGAGCAGCAGTATGGTGTGTGTGTGTGTGTGCGTGTGTGCTTGCGTGCATGTACTGTGGAGTGGGTATCTTAGCCAATATGGTTTAGATACTATATTTATTTTACTGTAAATTTTTTTGTAAAGTACTTTGTTCTAGATACAATTTAAGTTGACAATATAAAAAGTGAAGTCAAAATCAAATGCAAAATGTTTGTGTTCTTCTGATTCCTCTAACTTTTCTGAAAACGAATGAAAAACAAACCAGATTAATTATGTGTGATCAGATTGTAGTGACACTTAGAAATAGGTCATATTTAGAGATATAGACATGTGAAGTGATTTTTATTGAAAAGAGGCATGTATAGTGTCTGCACCCTCAAGTGTGATAAAGTCTGTATAGATGTAGCAAGCAAAACTTACTTGAACAGCTTCATTTTTTATTTCAGCTATCTGTTTCACTATGTGTGTGAAGACAGGATTATTTACATGTGCATCACAGATGATGTAAGTGTGAAAACGATATAATTGTACTCTCTCCAAATGAGTCTGCAGTCGAAAAGTTCCAGTATGTAGAATGTGTAAAAAATATTGTTCGTTGAGATAAGTTGACAGACTACTGATGTATCAATGTAGTGAATTCGTAATTTAAAAATATGTAGTGTTTATATTTGAAATGTATTATAGGCAACTTGAAATAAGAAGTGTCTTTAGCAAGTACTCCCTCATTATAGGTGTTTGAGAGATCACGAGCTTTCCTCTTCCTGCAAGAGATCAAGAGCAGGTTTCAGACAATGTTCGGCCCACGTGCACAGACTGCACTTCCATTCGCCTTCAACACGGAATTCTCCAAGGTTCTTGCAAGCCAGATGGTAAGTGTATCAGTGTGAAGATATCGTGGTTTGCTGCCATTTGCTGCGAACAGTGAACAACAATTTATTCATGATAATGGTGTATTCGTGCAGTCTCTTATCCTGGTAGCACCGAAGACATTGAAAGGTATTATGGAAGCATAACTTAATAATATCTTAAAGTTGATGTCTACTGTTTTTCACTTCGACATTGCAGTTGATTTAATTTTATGCATTATTCTAGAATAACCAATTGAAGGGCAATTCCTTATATGGCAATAGACCATGCATCTAATTGCTAAATGTTTCCATCCATTGTGACTTGTATTTTGCAGAAGTACTATTCAGATACCAGGGCAGTTGATCCTGTGTCTAGAGTGCAAACAGACCTAGATGAATTGAAGGGCATCATGGTTAAAAATATTGGTAAGTGTTACAAGTAGCATAATAAAATGAACATTTTAACTGTAAGCATTTCTGACTCTCCAGTGATGGGAAACTATGCAGCCAGCCATGTGGTGTTCCAAGAAGGCTGTTCTATGGTATAGAACACCAAGAGATTTTCTACGCTACTCTTTTTTAAACAGGTTGTGTACTGTTGTTTCCAGATGGATTTTTTATACTGTTGTACTTGTAGGAAGATTTCATGTACCGCTGTTTGCAAGTAGATGTCTTTCATTGTTGTGTATAGAGATGCCTTCCACTGCACTATCATTTTCCAATGTCACATGGTGTTGGAGATAGACAGTTAATTGCTCCTCATTATTGTTGCCAATGTCCTCTTCTGTTGTTGATAAACCCACTGCTTTCTGCTATCACTGTGCAATGCTTAAAAATGCTGATTTGATCATGTGAATGACACTTCTCTCTGCCTGTACAGACAATATTGCGGCGAGAGGTGAGAGGCTGGAATTATTGGTGGACAAAACAGAAAACCTAGAGGCTTCGGTAGGAACTTGGATTTTGTAAACCCGAGCTTATTATACGCATAACAATTAGACGTGCATTGCTTAGCATCAACATGCCCTTAAAAATCCTTGTTTACAGTAATCTTACCCATGGGTGGGTCGATGTGGGGACATGATACTTTTGTTAGACCATAAAAAATAATCATAATTATAAAAATAACATTAATTCAGTTGTCATGATTCTGTCAAAGTTGGGTTATGGAAAACATGAACTCATTAAAGGATGGCTAGCAGGTCAATTGATGTCTGTCTAATCTGTTTCAGTCGGTGACATTCAAAAAGACAAGCAGGAGTTTGGCTCACTCTATGTTCTTGAAAAATGCAAAGCTGACTATAATTATCGGCATTGTTATCATCGTAAGTATATTTCGATAATTGTTATCATGTGGTCAGCATATTTTACTATTGAACGACGTGTGTCCTGGTTTGCATGATTCCAAAAACCTTCGAGCTGACCTAATTCGATTCAATTTCCACTAATCAGGGTTTGTAAGACTTGTCAAGTTATGTAAAACTTCAGTCAACATTCATTATATTCATAAATTTCTTAGAACATTTATTTCTTTAGAGTTCTATATTACGATTAGTCGTTTTTTTGAGATCTCATGTTTACTTGCAGGTCATAATTTACTTTATTGTCTCTGCGGCATGTGGCGGCCTCGGGTGGCAAAAATGTGTTGGAAAGTGATTACCTATCGACTACATCCTTAATGGGACATCTGCATCTGAGTAGTCGACTTCCTTATTAATTACTAATGAAGTTCTTAGTCATATGTTATTTAAATTTAATGTATGCTCTAGTATTACCATTAACTTATGTATATAATTATATATGTGCACATTGGTTTATAGTGTCATCCAATAAGCCACGTAGGGTTAATTACACCACGGAATTACACACTTGAATATCCTTATTACTTCAATTTAGTAGTGGAGTAAATTAAACATCAGTCTTAATTTAGTTAAAATCGTTCCAAAATAGTTCCAAAACAAGGCATTCCACAAGTAAATTGGGAATAACCTCTATACATAATAGCAGGGGTTAATAATGACAAATTTGTCATTATTAACCCCTGATAATAGTTATTAAACGTGGTTTTTAAAATCTGTGGTGCAGACACTAGTAGCGAGTAGGTGAATGTAAAACCCTTAATGATATTTTGTTTTTTTGCGCATGACATGGTTGTACAGATTATTTCTCAAGTACAGAGTCGCGAATGTTTATAGAAAGCCAATATACTGTGAGTGTGAGAGAACACTGAAGTCGAGTGGTGACCGTTTAGAGTGACATGTCCTTGAACAGATGCGTGTGCGATCTGGATTGCGTCAATTCTGAAGCAATTTATTTTGTATAAAATTGTCAGCTGTGTACATTTTCTATGACTTATTTATATTGTACCAACACAGTGTATTCTTATTCGTTCAATGTAACATTGTAGTTGCAGTGATGGAAGACATTTAATTATTGCTATAAATGCGGCATATAAAATTAGGAGGATATGTAGTTAATAGCAAACATCGGAATAAATCATTTCAAATAGTTATCCTATGTAAACGAGTGGATTTTATTTTTCACTCTCGTTTGCTTGGAAATATGACAGCAGAGATGCATTTCTTTATACATCCGATAAACAGTACAGCATTTGTGTACATTTCAGTGCAACATCATTTATAATGTTGGATTCAGCATAGATTTAGGTCAATACAGATCTATATGTATCACAACATATAGTCCATTGATCCAAATATCAAGTTTGCTACACTGTCCCCTGATATATAAAACAGAGTGAAATATGTGTCACAGAGTCCCACATTTCAAATTGCAAACAAAATTGCAGAAATTAAAACCACACTCTTCATAGTATACACATCTTTTATCACCGTTTCTTATAAATACATGGCTTCAGAGAGAGACTGGGGCATTTTTTTGACTTTGCTTCTACTTTTTTGAATTCCATCATCACGAACATCTTGTTGATACTCACCTAGAAACATACACACACAAAATACAACTTAGTATGATCATTATGTTACTATGAGTTAGTACGTGATACAAAGTCATTATACATTAAGAAATAATGTAGCGTTCTATTTTGATGTAAAATCATTTGTTGCATTCATTAGTAAATGCCACTATAATATACACAGCCACATATAATTCTTCACTAATTTAATTATCTTACTTTAAACTTGAGTTTAAATCCCAGTTTCTTGACAGATGTGGTGAATGAATCGATGTCTTCAAATCTGCTTTCTACTTCAACTACTTTCAGAATACCTCTGCAAATGGAAATTTTTATAATTATAGGCCAAAATTAATCCAGCAATATCACAAGCAAAAATGCTCAGCGAATATTCTTTTGCAATTTTCAATTGTCACCTTGATTATTAACATTTTAAAAGATAACCAATAAAACTAGGTTTATGACATATCCGATTTTTGTATTTCTAATTTAATTACACATCTATGAGTTCTTTACGGTTACAGTATCTCATACTTTATAGTAAACCTAAGGGCCCATTTTCAGAAACATCGTAAAGTTACGGCTAATGTTAAGGCTATTTTTCTATGTGACAATAGGCCCCAGGTTGATAAAATCCCCAATAAATCTCACTAGGGTCACATTTTCTGCTGTTAGATTCAAACAATATCCATAACACGAGACTAAATAGTAGCTAGCTGGATATCTGTATTGATAAAGATTTGTTATGTCCCGTAGTAAGCATCAGCAGTACTCACCTAACCATTAGGACCCTCCAAGCCTCATTAATGTAGTCAGCAAGATTCGAGCCCATGAGGGAGAGGCAGAAGATTGCGATGTCAACGCTGCCATCTTGCAGTGGGACCTTTACACAAAATTGTGGGTAACATGATTAAAAACCTTGCTCAAGATAAAAATCTTAAAATTGTGATAAAATATATAACCCATACTTTCGGTGCTGAGCTTGGATCAACTCTTTGAACTTTTCATGACATTCAATATTCATGACATTTTACACATTTTATCAGGAGTGTATCAATTGTATCAATGTATTGATACACTCCTGATTTTATGGCAATATAGCTGGATAGCTGTAATAACTGGCAGTACTACAATCTACCAACACAGATTGCAAGATACAATGTAAACCTTACACTCAAAAGAGAGTAATAAACCACTACAAAATTTATTAAAACAAGCAAGTGGTGCATTGAGTTCTAAAATCATAATTCTTTCAAATAAATCATAACCTTACCTTGGACATGTCACAGGCTGTTACATGATCATTGAGGGCCACAAGGTCAAAAGAGTGCACAGTGTTGGGAACAGAGCGAGCTAATTTCGCATCGCCACATCCAAAGTCAGCTATAACCTTTGATGGCCTGTAGTATATATGGATAATAGTATGAAAAAAATATGGTCACACATCATGACATCACGTTTACCCATTCACATGCAGAGGTAATTTCATGACAAGGTATCTATTGTCGGCTGCTCTACTCTTGTCTCTGGCAGAAAGAATTTCATATAATTGTAGAACTACTGTTAGGTATCTGTGACCTATCCTGTGTCAAGGCCTCTGACCCTTTAGACGATGGCTGCAGTGAGATACCTATTTGCTCCTTAGACAGAAGGCAGTGCCACAATGTTTTACACATTTGATCACTGTATATAATATAATGCACCAGTCTCGACCAATCACGACCACGTGATAGCAGCAGCAGCAGCAGATAAATAGATTGCTTACTTTTTCTTTACATCTTCGATAATCCTGTCAAGTGGGTTTTCTGGCCAGTGTGAAACCTGTCCAGAGAATCCCTGATGGTAAATCATAAAAGCTTCGGGATCTTCGCGGAACATGGCTACAGCATCGTGGCTTGGCATCGTGTACAGCTGTTCATTGATGTAACGAAATCTATAGCAAAAGAAACACAAAAATATAATCGGTACAGAATAGAAATATAGTAACAGGAATAACGTAAGACCTAGTATTGCCGTACTCCTGATGCGACGAACATGCACAGCGTTCGCATTTATTAAGAGTCAACTAAACTCATGAGACAGCATTCGGCAAGGAAACACGCGAGTCGTGCCTACAACCACTTTGACCAACACTGTAAATCATTACTCATGCTGATGAATAAAACTTCACTGCTATTCAACTTTTATACCTTGCCGAATTTAGCCGGTTAACCATTTTTTCACGCAGTACTTCTGACTTGCTCTTCTGTGAGTCTGGTACGCAAACATTTGAAGTCGAACGTGAACCTTTGATAGATTCCCGTTTTTCCTGTGATTTGTTCTGGTCAGATTTCAGCTTAACTGCGGCTGTGCTAGATTTGGTTTCAGACTTTGATGTGGACTTGTCATCAATCGATTTTTTCTTCAGTTTCTTTTTGCACTGTGGCAAATCTGCAGTTCCACTCCTCGCTTTTGCTACTGACTTTTCTGGCCTGAACCGCTTCCTCGTTCTAACCCTCTTCTTATTTAACACGAGTGGGTCATGAACGGGATGTTCAATTGTTGCAGGATGATCACCTTCAGCGGTGGTGGTCTTTGTGAGGAGCTTCGCACACTTCTCAGATACTACGACAGGATTTGGCTCGCTAAGACTGGGCCTTTTTCTTTTTGCAGTTTTAGAAGGACCGGGTTGACTTCGACTATGGTCGATTAAGTCTGCATATTTGTTTCTTTTGTTTGGGGTTTTATTTGGCATCAACCCACCTTCCGCTTTCTTAGTTTCTGGCATATCTGGTTTTGGCATCTGCTTAGAGAGCTTCTTCATTTTAAGGCGCTTCGTAATGGAAGAAGCTGGTATTAAATCTGTATTTATTTGAAGAGGATGTGGTGCTGAGCTAGAGGAAACCAGCACATCATTTGCTGCCGCAGTTTTCCTCTCCTTAGCTCTAGCTTTCCGTATCTTCATCTTCTCGCGTTTCTTTGCAGCAGCCTCTTCTGAAATATCCGTGCTTGCAGGCTTCTTCTTTTTCTTCCTCTTGCTCCTCGTTCTGCTAGTTGCTACCACAGTGGCTTTAAGATCATCCTTCTGGAAAAGTAACAGGGAAGAACATAAACTACATTGCAGAATAAAATGGTATCAACAATGTTCAAATAAATGTAATATATCAATACAATGTTAATACCAGTTATGATACTGGCTCGCAGATCATTAGATGATACAATAATGTATATCTTCTTCACAGGTGCATGACATGATTCTATACGGCTATACCTCACTGTTGCGTAGTGCACAAAATTAATCACTATGGTAAATCTATGATTTGTGATACAAGACGTAAATTCAAAATTAGACGGTATTGTTGTTAACATAAATGCCAATCACACTAAACATTGTCAATGCAGGGCGCGAAATTAACGGGAGTCCGAAGTAAAATACTCCTTGCTTTACTGTCGGCCTCCCTGATTTGACACATGCAGAAGTCCGTGTGACTCCCAAAAAATTCTGCCATACTAACTAGTTCGTTCCAGAGCACGGACTCACGGAATTACCATATTTTTTTAGCTAATGTCCAAAGAAAATATGGCAGACATGCAACCGCATGAATCTTCAAAATAAGCACATGTATGCATTATTGTTAATATCTTTAATTTTGAACTTCAGACTGCAGACTCCGTCATTTTGTTGCGGACTCCCTCTTTTGGAGGGTAGAGAGTCCATTAATTGGACTCCCGTGTTCAAAAGTTAATTTCTACACCTGTCAAGGACTACATTATCTCATCTAATATATCCTATGAAAATGCAAATTGCATAACATTTAAAGTGCATTTAATTTGCAGTTCAGAATAGTATCGTTTGGCAATTTAATAAGCCTACATTCTACACAGTGGTTTGTGTATTTCTGCCAGTTTACACACAGGCACTTGAAGCATTTCAATAAAATATAATGCTAAATAAATACGAAATCTATTTACTACCAATGTTTCTATACTCTCTTTCACCTATTATTGCCGACAATTTCCTGTAAATGCCGTCCAAATGCTCATCTACAACAAATACTGGCTGCTGCCAAGCGCCATTGCTGCCGCTGCACACTGACACTTAAATATATAGCAGACAGGAAAGCGTGCTGCCAAAATTCACTCGACACTCGCTTGATTTCACACGAATACAACACAAATATTCAACCATTCTACTCCATCTTTGTTTCTATTTCAAGAACAGTGTTTAATTGTTATAAAAACATACTGTCTGTGTTCGTAACCGAGCTGTGTCACGCAAAATCACACAAAGACTGACGAAATTCTCGCGTTCGCTCCTGTTGCACAGTTTATGTAAATGTCTGTCAGAATCAGGAAACACCCACCGGCGCTCTTCGTGACCTCATTCTTGCGCCGCAACGCTGCAACGTTTTTGGATCTATGTTTGCAATGCTCCACTGGCGAGGCTCGTACGGGAGTTGGAAAGCAGCGTGGTAGTTTCCCAAAATGCAGTGTGCCGCCTATAGCCCTTAGACTGGTACTCGCTCCCACCTCTCGGCTTAGTTACTCGATGGGTCCCCCCCCCCCGATGGGTCCCATCGAGTAATCGAGGTGGGAGTGAGTACCAGTCTACTATAGCCCTGTACTTGCAGCCATTTACATGAACTGCACAACAGGAGAGAATGCAAGAATTTCGTCAGTCTTTGTGTGATTTCGTGTGACACAGCTCGGTTACGAACACAGACAGTATGTTTTTATAACAAGTAAACACAGTTCTTGAAATAGAAACAAAGATGGAGTAGAACGGTTGAATATTTGTGTTGTATTCGCGTGAAATCAAGCGAGCGTCGAGCGAATTTCGGCAGCATGCTTTCCTACCTGCTATATATTTAAGTGTCAGTGTGCAGCGGCAGCAATGGCGCTTGGGCGGCAGCCAGTGTTTGTTGTAGATGAGCATTTGGACGGCATTTACAGGAAATTGTTGGCAATAATAGGTGAAAGAGAGTATAGAAACATTAAGACTGGTGGTAAATAGATTTCGTATTTGTTAAGCATTATATTTTATTGAAACGCTCCAAGTGCCTGTGGCTGTGAGTTTACACACACTTGCAGACTAGATACAATAATGTAACTCAAACCCAGGATAGGGTTACAACGCGTCGCTATGGTTTTCTGTGGAGGAAATTCAGAGAACCCCTGAGTGAATCACTCGGGGCGGTTTGCTGGTGCGTTTTCAGAGACTAGAACTTCCAAACTAGGTTTATTCTTAACACGAACCTTTCTCCGCTATCTTGGAACTTACTATGTATCATAATACTTTGTATTAAACTAATATAACCTGTTACAAAAATTTGAAGTGACGAACGGCGGATATTTCAAGCGCCATTTCTGTTGACCTGTGACGTACGCATTCCCAATGCGCATATAGCAATCGGCAAACGCAGCGCCCTCCGATTGGTCGGTGAATCCGCTCTTCAAACCGAAGTACGTCACAGGTCAACAGAAATGGCGCTCAGTATATTCGCCGCTCGTCACTTCGAATTTTTGTAACAGGTTATATTAGTTTAATACAGAGTATTGTGATACATAGACTCATAGTATTGCTACTATTAGTAAGTTCCAAGATAGCGGAGAAAGGTTCGTGTTGAGAATAAATCCAGTTAGGAAGTTCTAGTCTCTGAAAACGCACCAACAAACCACCCTGAGTGATTCACTCAAGGGTTCCCTGAATTTCCTCTACAGAAAACCATAGCGACGCGTTGTAACCCTATCCTGGGTTTGGGTTACATTATTGAATATTATTGTATCTAACTTGCAGACATGTGTCCGAGATATGCCCGTGCCATTGCCAACAACTAACAGACCTGCGTAAACAAATTCTTTTGGAGGTTTTTAGTAACCGCGTCACCACCTTCCCAGTCACCCTGTTCAAACATTTGTAGACTTTAAGATATACAGAAAACGAGTTTTAAGAATAAACGCGTGAAGTTAGTGACCGTGCTTCAACGTGGGCGCTGCCATGTTGTTGATACGGCAGCGCCAAGCGCGAGAAGGGTTTGCATCCGCTAATAGAAAATCAGTTGTATGTACCGCGTGACCCTACGTGCTCCAATTAGAGAATAGAGACGGGTATCGCATTTTAGGTTTGGTGGTGTCGGTGTTGTAGTGTTAGTGTTATTGTATGTTTATTGCTACAATAATTTGTACTTAAGGTACAGATTAAGCATCGGAAATGTATTAGTGTTGTGATTTACATGTTACTCAAAGCGGATCGTCTAGGCACAGTGCTGTAACTTGGGCAGATGAAAGACCTTTGAATACTGGCTCATTTATCGTAATGCAAGTCGTGTGTAACCTAGTCAAGCCGCATGCGACCAGGAGCCGCGAGCGATGATAGTGGTTGTGATGTTCACGAAAGAGTTGTGTATTTTACAAGATTAAATATTGCGTGTACATTTTATGTGATCACAAATCTACTGACTTGAGAGCGAGAGAGCGAACGATGGAAGATATTTTTTCACTTTGCCGAGAAGGCAACGCGTTTCATGTGCGTGTTTGGTTAGACAACCCGGAAAACGACCTGAATCAAGGGTAAGTTTGGACGATGTGTGTTGCACTTACTCAACAGAACCCAATATTTTAAATACGCAACTAACACCATAGATTACCTGTTAATATTAGGGTAAGCTTAGATTAGATTAGGTACTGATAATTTGTATACCTTACTGATAACCATTCAGCAGTACCGTAGTTTAGATTCTAGCTAAGAATGTACGTGTTATATAACTTCACTGTGTGTACATTAATAAATGTCATTATTTGTTATCAAGTAAAAAAAAAAATTTTCAAGTTCAAGTTCAAGTAAAATTTATTTTCATCGGTATATCATGAACATTGTAACATAAGCTAAGAGCTTTTGCACCGATATCAAACAAGAATAAAAGATATTGATTAAACATAATAAAAACTGCGTAACTGCAACTAGTATCATCTAGTATCAGTAATACTAATACTGGTAATAGTATTAATATTGGCCCAAGGATCCTAAAGTGGGTGTACTCAAATTACATGGGCAATATATCATTATATGTGTGAGAGTAACCTTGTGAGTGTCATATATTGATAGTACTGCTCCAGAAAACATCTAGTTTCACGGAGTACTCCATGTAGGCCTACCGCAAATCGGTGTCTCGATAGCGTGTGTCTGCTGTGTATATTTGTGTTTAACACAATTCTGTAATGATTATTTACTCTTCAAACTGTACATGAATGCAGTGTGCAGATCCAAGCCCTCCTATTTGTGCAAGTCGTGCTGTATGGCTAGCTAGCAGTGATCATGGGTGGGGTGGGACCGTGGGGTGTTACTTTTAGCCTGAGGGGTGGGGAAGGGCAGTGTAAGCCACAATACATTTTACATTGTATATTAGCACACATGTAGGCCACATGCCAACTGCGATTGGTTTTTCACTTGACAGATGCAGTTGCTGCCATGCAGTGTATAGTAAGTAAGTAGTGTACAGCCAGAGACCGCCTTAGTTGCACTAGATGTGGCCCACAGCAAGGCCTGTGCTGTACTTCGATGATTTTCGCAAGCTGCAAGTAATCATGAACCTGTCGAATTTAGGAACGGTCCACATGGCTGCCACAAGCAGCTGCAGTCCCTTGTAGCGGGCAATCCAAATCTTACCCATGCAGCGCGTGGATGCAAACTCCCACTTTCTGCACCTATTGGCGATTTATGGATGACCGGTGGTAAATTCTGATCAAATAAACAAATATACAACAAGTACCTGGCTATGTGCTTGGGCGAGGCGATGCGAACGTATGTAAACAAATTGGTAAATAAATCCTAGAATGAGTTGATTTTCTGAATCCTAAATACATGTTCTAGGACGAAAATAAAATTTTGAACTGAACAGATCTAATTCCTATCACCTGGTTCACCTGTATATGTGCTGTTTCAATACAAGACATGCAGTATGTTATATACATGTGTTGAGATTCTGATTTCATAGAGGATTTGTCCTCGGACCTGCTGCTTTCTACAGCAGTATTTTGGGATATTTTGCAGTTAATTGCGATCGATCAATATTGCTGCGTGACAATGAGGATACACACATATCTATCTTTCTGGAAGCTCACATCGTGTGGGAGAAGAGTAGGGGGAAGGAGAGCTCACTAGCTTTATCAAATAATGCAGGAATTGTTGAGGAAAACAAAGTCCATAAAATTGCCATTGGGGTTGTATTTATGAACACAGCATTGGTGGAGGTTTGACATGTACTAGCTACATCGTAGGGCAGGGGTTCTTAACCTGTGGTCCAACTTCCAAGGGGTCCGTGGATGGGCTTCAGGGGGTCCGTGAACCATACGCATAAAAATTTTGTGTTTATGTGCTTCTGTGCATTTTTCTGTGGAGGGGTCCTAGCTTTGACCAGATTCTCAAAGGGGTCCATGACTCAAAAAAGGTTAAGAACCACTGTCGTAGGGTGTTTATTGGAAGATAAATTTATATTAATAATAATAATTACGCGATAGATAATTGGAAGATACAGCGTTGGGGGGGGGGGTTGCGGTACAAGCTATAGAGTACCGAAGTGTGACGTCAGCGTTTGGCAAGACAACGCACGCGGGCTGGTGTCTACACAAGCCACTGGCCACAAGCCACACGCCCGTTAATTGCCGTGAAAACTGTTGGTGCGTACGTAAACCGCAGTGTTGTGCCGCTGCAGACAGCGGTAAACATCAGGTAGCAAGTCGATCTTAACAGATATTTCATGAATTAAAAAAAAATAAATTTGTTGTTAATTTTTTTTTTTTCGTTGATGTTTCACGGTTCCATCCTTTGGATCTATAAAAAACTGCAATAATTGACGTCTCAGAATGAATGGTATACAATGGGCTAAAACACGACACGCGCGAGCAGTTAATTTACCAGGCATATGATTGTGTAGAACAGCAGGCTCGTTGATCATGCCACCGCCTGACGTACATCACTTCAGCTTAAGAAACCATTGCGAGGTTCTAGAGTAGGACTAACCTGTATTATACAGGCGGTATGTTCGCGCTTCACTACACTATCTATCACGCCTGTACGACGAGGCCTCAACCCTGGGTTTCGGCGAGCCTCGTTATCGATCAGGCAACTTGAATAACTGGAGAAATGACGTCGGCAAAAGCCTGACTCGCTGGGCTTTGATTGGGCCCGTTACAGCTCTCTGATTGGGCAATCATTTCTTGTTTCGCGATAGCGGTCTGACGAAGCAGGGGCTCAGGCCGGTGAAGGTGTAGTGAAGCGGACCGGACATCCGCCTGTATCATACAGGTTTAGAGTAGGACAGTTCAGCAGTAGAGAGGTTTGGCATGCTACTTGATCGATGGGGGCGCTTATAAGGAAGCTGGTATTGGTGAAGCGTTTTGCAATCCTAGCTGGATTGTTAGAGGGTTGTAAAAAAGCGGCCAGCATTGGAGGACGTAATTTTGTATACTCACTACATGATGAATGAAGGTGGCGATGTTGAGACGAATGTGCCGACTGATGCGATTAATGGCAGCGAAACAGTTAATGGCACACTTCGAATGAAAGCAATTACGCATTGCCTACCTCGATTGACTAAAATTAAATGATGCCAGAAACCTGTAGCCAATTATAAATTGAGTAATAATTGGCGTAATGTGAGTAGGAGTGGCCATGCTGTAATCCACTGCAGTAGGTACCCATCAAGTTAGTCTAAGTTGTAACATGGGTGGTAAAAGAAATTTTTTTATATTTATTTCTTGCACTAAAAATGCACAGAGCTGATGTACGTACTAAAAAATTGTCGGCGATAAAACTAGTTTGGACGAATTTCGCTATGTTCTGTGGTATACGAGAAGTAGCGGCTGAGCGCGAGAAGAGAGGATGGAGTGAAGAGAGAGAGAGAGAGAGAGAGAGAGAGAGAGAGCGAGAGAGAAGAGAGAGAGACGAGGAGAGAGAGAGAGAGAGAGAGAGAAGATATATCACGAAGAGAGAGATGGAGAGAGAGAGAGAGAGAGAGAGAGAGGAGAGAGAGAGAGAGAGAGAGAGAGAGAGAGAGAGAGAGAGAGAGAGAGCGCGCGCGCGCGCGAGCGTGTGTGTAGTGAGAGGGTGCCGGGATAAGTAGTTGCGTGTGGGGTAATGAGGGTGGCTGTGTCATCTGTTACTCGTACTCAGTGGTGGCCCCCTCCCCCGCCAAGCGCACCAGCAGTGCTTGTTTGCTGACAGCTTACCAGGGAGAGGAAGCCTGCTGCAGCAGGGCGCTAAGATGCCAGACCTTCCCAAGCTGTCGGCAGCGGCGGCGTGGTGCGCTCGCTGTACGCGAACATGATGGAGGATGGATGGATGGGCCAGCTGCCGTAGTAGCAGTACCACTGATGCTGCGCGAGCAACATGGCAAACTAATATTTCAGACCTCAGGGATATGTATATATAATATGTATGCTGTTGGCAATGCGCACATCAATGTTGTTAATATTATTGTTATTAATAATATTGTTCAGGGGTAGAAATTAACTTTTGAACACGGGAGTCTAACGGACTCCCTACCCTCAAAAAGAGGGAGTCCGCAGCAAAATGAGGGAGTCCGGAGTCTGCGGTTCAAAATAAAAGATATCAACAATTTAACGCATACATGTGTTTTTTTTAAAGATTTATGCAGTTGCACGTCTCCCAAATTTTCTTTGGACATTAGCTGAAAAAATACGATAATTCCGCGAGGCCGTTCTCCTGAACGAACTAGTTAGTATGGAAAAATTTTTAGGGAGTCACACGGACTCCTGCATATATATCAGGAGTAGATCCTGATATATATATATATATGTCAAATCAGGGAGCCCGACAGTAAATCGGGGAGTATTTCATTTGACTCCGGACTCCCGTTAATTTTGCACCCTGTTGCGAGACAGGGTCATAGTACATCACTGTCGCAAAAATGCTCATGACTGTCGATGTTACCATAGTACTCTGCTTAGCTCTAGTACTATAGCCCGCGGATAGCTGCGGCAGCTATCCGCGGGCTATAGTACTAGAGCTATACTCTGCTATACTTCTTCGTTGTTGTCTACAGGGTTAGAAACGTCTGGAGTCTAATAATATGCTTCCTGTTTTACCTGTTTAGACTCCCTGATTTGTCATCAGCCGAAGACCGTGTGAATTAACCTGTTATAAATAGCCAGAAACCTTAAAAACACATATATAACTATAACTTATAACTTTATTTTACAACTTATAACAGGATAAGTAGTGATGTCCCGATGATCGATTATAATCGAAAATCGATCGATTATAGTCTCAAATTCGATAATCGATTATGAAAACAAATAATCGATTATCAAAAATACCAAAAAAAAACAAAAAAACGCAAACATGGACATGTATTGGTAGCGAAGTCTAAGTGCATCAGTGTGTAGTCCAGAGGACACCTTCATGAATCACTGTTAACATAGGTCCTGTCTGATTGCAGAGCGGTACTAGTGTACTTATAGACATGGACAAATTGGACAGTGTCTTTGTTTTGGTTTGACACTGTCCCACAGATGTTATCCGTAGATGAGATTCTACTCTCCGTATTGTTTGTTACATTGTGTTGGAGAGGATATTCCATTGGCAGGACATTAACTCGGCTACACAGCCTACAATATTAGAACACAAACAACTAACTTACTATAATAAAGAACAAGTCTTGATCATGTTTGTTTAAAACTTTTAATGTTTTAATAAAGGCATTTAAACCATTTCTTTTTAAATTGATTAAATACTGAATATTAATATAGGAACAGACATTGATATACATACAGCAACCTTCACAGAGTTAATACATGATCATAAAACATGATAATATTGGATGCTATGTATAATTGTATATACAAAGTAAGATTAAATTAAATCTATGCTATTATTAACCGATTATCCGATTATAATCGATTATCGATCGGTTAAGGGAAACCGATAATCGATTATGAAATTCAAGCCGATTCCTATCACTAAGGATAAGTACTGGTCTTTACTGCTTTTAAATGATATTCTGCTGCTGATCTTCTCATCTTCAATTGATGTCATTCGGGCGGTTACTGCGACTTGTGTCGTGGTGTGGTGCGGACTCCGTTATTTTGTTCCGGGCTTCCTCTTTTTGTACTACTGGACTCCCTCTATTAAACCTTATTTTCTTTCCCCGTGACTGCGTTTAACTCTTGACGATCTCCCTTTGACTGCTACATGTAACTGTACAGCGCTAACATATGCCAGGCTAAAAACAGCAGAAAATAGCGTGCACGCATAATATCAGGAGTAGATAATAGAAGATCTTCTATTATTTACTCCTGATAATATGTACATGCACACATACACACGTCAAGTTCGTGTGCGACTTGCCGAATCTCTAGCGCAGAACAAGTAGGCGTAATGATAGCTCTAGTACTATAGCCCGCGTTCAGTAACTGCGGCAGTTACTGAACGCGGGCTATAGTACTAGAGCTAGCGTAATGAAAAGTACGTGTAATTGATTACATTGCATGCGTATTAGGTCAAGAATGACGAACGAAGAAACAGATAGTTGTGCGTAATGATTACTCCCCCCACCCCGCTCATATCATGAATACTGGGTTCGTAGGGGAAACGTCACCATACTGCCCGTCGCCTGCATTAACCCAGCATCATGTGTCGCTGCGAAAATGTAGGTCAAGTGGCTCTTGACGTATCGACTGCTTATACACGGCAACAAAGCTCTCTGGGATCAACTCGAGTAGCCTACCATCTGCCCCCTAGAAATCTCTAGCAAAATGGATTAATTTGCGTTTGGCCACGGTACAGAACTAACTGTGAGTCATGCGACCATATCATAGAGTGCTTACCTTTTCGTTATTTGGAGCAGGGTCGTTCCACCGGGTGCAGATTTTTTGGTCGTGCACGAAAGCACGTAGTGCAGTAGTCTCTAACCTGCATCTGTTCTGGCAGTCATTACTAATACTAAGCACTTTTTGACCTGTGTATTTGGTAAGCGTACTTGGGTACATGCGTGCTTGCGTATATTTGGCTGCTGTGTCAGCTAAAAACACTCACTATTGTAAATCGTACTCTAAGAATCAATGTTGCCATTTAATAAAAATATCAAATTCTTCGCCTCTAATGCAGATTTTGTCGAATGATTCGCTCGTTTAATGTAAAATCGTGTGTACAGAGATGTAGAGGAAGAGGGACTGGTGTAGGAGACATCCTGTACCCTGTGTATAGTGACGGATCACTACTGTACATAGTTTACGGAAAATAGGAAGCGAGGGCGTAGAGTACACAGGGTAAGCGCGCTTCCTCTTAGACACCTACGCGTAATCACCCGCCTCCCTAAGTTTCCTTCGTACATTTATTACGCATTTGCCGCCATTGGATTCACGAGGCGAGCAGTGTATTGGTCAAGAACGGAGCACTCGTAACTTAGCGGTCACCGCGAGATGACCTGAATTAACCTGAAGGTGGCTTCAGCTCTGCGGTGTCGGAATCTGCATTCGGATACTATCGATACTTGATACTATCGTAGTGCGCGTATCGTGAGAGGCGAACGGCTGGTCAGATAGAACGTAGCAAGATCGACCGCGCGCGCGCGGCTGCGACGTTCGCATTGCCTTCCATCGCACGAGACGACCGGTCGCCTGCGGCTGGAGCGGCATGAGTGAATTCACTGAGACGGTCCTCCGGGAGCTATCCCGGGTGTCTGCCTCTGAGGGCATTGGCGAGGAGGAGGGAGAGGAGGAACGCGAACAGGAGGAGGACGATGATGATGATGAGGAGGAGGGGGTTTTGGTGGGCGTCGCCCGTTCCGTGGACGCAGAGGCAAGCAATCGCTGGAATCCATATTCATTTGAATTTAGTTGAAATCAGCGGCAAAATCTGTCGAGATCAATATGACGAGACGAATCTGGTCTTGATCAATTGAAGTTTAATGACGCGTGGTTGCTATTGCGTTTGATATATATATATACATATTATATATATGTATATGACACAGGCAGGGAGGGGGTGTTTTGGGGGGTGTAGCAGCAGACTTGTGTGTGATTGATGGTGAAGTACGGTCGGCAGAGGCAGTGCGTGACCCCCCGGGGAGCGATTGCATTCAAGTCCAACTGATTAACATTTCGAAAATGAGTTATTCTTTGTGGGCACTGTTGCGTGAATGAATGTAAATTAAATTAAAAAGCACATATCTTATTGATTTTTGTAGCATGCCCGCGTGCATTCGGGTGGTGGTTAAATGCTATTGTATTAATTTGCGTGTAGGATTTGTGGTAGCGGTAATTGAATTTGCTTTGAATGATTACTGATAATTTATTATCATTTGGGGATACTCCTATATAGAATATCATCCGAAGTAAGCAATAGTTACAGTTACGATTACCATTTTATGATATGTTAGAGCAACATAGCCTAAACTCATTGATTAATCGCGTTCGTGCATTTTCGAAAAGTAGGAGCAGGGCAGGAAGGCTAGTGTTGAGTCGTTGTCCAGTATTGGCGACAACCTGGAACGCGATGGTGCGACCTGGCAAAAGCGGCGTGCATACATGCGCTACAACTCCTGGAAGGGAATGAGTGACCAGGAATACAAGGATCTTACCTACGAACGACTGAACGTTGGGTATAAGCTGGTTGATATTTCTACGTACGAGAACACAGGGCCTGCTTTACGATTAGATAGGGCTGAGAAGCAATGATAAATCTGACCCCGGCTGGTGTCTAAAGTGGTGCTGTGCCCCATCAAGTACACTAGAGCCTTTTCTGGGTACTCTTTCATTTCGTATCTTTTAAAAAAATGAACTTGTAGTTGCCAAACGATGGCAAGTTAATGTTATCGCTGTGGAGAAGTGGCTTCAATGTCTTAGTGCCTGTCTTCATACATAGATATAATTTTATGAATACCTAACATCTCAGCAATATTCATCTGTGGTATTCCCTCCATTGTCCATGACTGTTGAACTCTGCGTTGCGAAAGCAATTAAATTATCCAAGACATTAAAACAACAATATATGTATATTATCAAGAGCGTATACAGAAGGGTTACTTTATACGCTCTTGATAATATTATTATATATGTACCACATAATGTCTAACAAGAACAATTAAATATAATAAAGATGGGTTTTTACAACATTAGTTTATCTGTTTTGGTGACAATAAGTAAGGTGTTTAAAACGTGTATAAAGGCAATATAATGTGGTCAAACATCACCATGCCTTTTTCATGACAATTTCAAACTTTTCAACATTTTCAGGGCTTTATTTCTGAGTGTGTGATTTTCAGAGCTTAACTCTTAATTATGTGTGATCTACAGGGCTTCAGTTTTAACTGCGTGATTTTCAGAGACCACCACAACTTTATTCACGACTGATTGATTTTCAGTCATCACTATGTTTTCAGTCATGAGTTTGCGTTATTTTCAGAGCTTCATTCCAGACTTTCTGTGACTTTCAGACCTTTATTCCAGACTTTCTGTGACTTTCAGACCGTTGTTCCAGACTTTGTCTGACGTCCAGACCTTCGTTTCAGACATTGTGTGACTCTCAGACCTTTATTCATGACTTTGTGTGACTTTCAGAGACCACCATGGCTTCAGTCCGCTGCACTGGGCGTCGAGGGAGGGACGCACGAACATCGTCGACATGCTCATCCTGCGCGGCGCTCGCATCAACGCGACGAACATGGGAGACGACACAGCACTGCATCTCGCCTCCAGCCACGGTCACAGAGAGATCATGCTCATGGTACGTCACCATCGCCCCCCCTCTCGTCACCCCCCCGTCCCCCTCCTCCACTACAGCACCCTCCTCTACTGCCCTCTCTTCTACAGCCCCCTCCACTTCCCTCCTCTACCATCCCTCGTCTACCACCCCCTCTCATCACCACCGTTCCCAGCACCTCCACTACTGCACCCACCACTACCGTCCCCTCCACTACCGTCCTCTCCTCTACCGCCCCCTCTCATCACCAGCGTTTCCAGCCCCTCCACTACCAGCCCCACCACTACCGTCTCCTCCACTACCGCCCTCTCCTCTACTGCCCGCTCTCATCACCACCGTTCCCAGCCCCTCCACTACCGTCCCCCTCCTCTACCACCCCCTCCTCTACCACCCCATCCACTTCCCTTCTCTACCACCCCTCGTCTACCACCCCCTCTCATCACCACCGTTCCCAGCCCCTCCTCTACCGCCCCCTCCTCTACCGCCCCATCCACTTCCCTCCACTACCGCCCCCTCCTCTACCACCCCTTCCTCTACCGCCCCCTCCACGTCCCTCCTCTACCACCCCTCCTCTACTCTCCCCCTCCTCTACCGCCCCCTCTCATCACCACCGTTCCCAGCCCCTCCACTACTGCACCCTCCTCTACCGCCCCCTCCACGTCCCTCCTCTACCACCCCCTCTCTACTCTCCCCCTCCTCTACCGCCCCCTCTCATCACCACCGTTCCCAGCCCCTCCACTACTGCACCCACCACTACCGTCCCCTCCACTACCGTCCTCTCCTCTACCGCCCCCTCTCATCACCACCGTTCCCAGCCCCTCCACTACTGCACCCTC